GGGCTCCAGCTGCCGGCTGGTGAAACACCTCACAGAGCTCAGCCGCGGCCGGGCCGTCGCTAAGTCCCTAAGGACCTACTGACTCCTGAGCCAAGCCAGAGTGTGGTGAAGGATCCCAATATAAACCACAGGCAAAGCAGAACGTGAGTTTACTGTCGGGTGTTACCGGGGCAGCTTTAGAGTATCTTTTCCTTGGAAACAGCAACTTCATATGCTCGTCAAGGTGCAGGAGCGGGTCTTTAAGCCACCTTGAACGTCAATCCTGGATGCCCCAAGACTGCTCTGACACAAGAGCCGCGGCGCAGCTTTTAGCTGCCAAAGCACCTCTTCCTACGGTGACCGCACCACCCGTCCGATACACCCCACGCTCCAAAGGCATCACCGCAGCGTCCCGTCTGCTTAACAGCAGAATCCTTCCTACCGCACCGCTAGCACACCTGAAAGCCAGCGTGATCTTAAACGTTTCAAACTCCTGCTCTGCCCAGACCCGTTTTGAAACGGAGCCAGGCAGGAGCACGGAAGGACCGGCTGGACTGCCTGCAGTGCAGTCTACAAGCTGATGCCCTGAGTCACGGAACCCGAAAAGCTCCTCCTTTCCTGAAACCCACGAGGTAAACGGGATTGGTACAGCCAGTGATTGAGAAGGGTCACCTGAACACCACCGCAGGAGACACAGTGTATTGCTGATGCCCATTATACTCTCCCACTTTTCCTTCATCTATGAAATAAAGGAGTTTGAGCCAGCCGTTTGGAAAAGCCGCAGGAGCCCAAGTGAGGAGAGCCTGGAGCACACGTGCTGCGTTTGCTAATCTCTCCCACAATTTAATACTGATCTGTTGTACACCATGCAAAAAACGAAGCCACCCTTTTACTGAAGTAAACCAAAATTCCTCCTTTAGTGGCAGCAGCAACTTCAGATACACAATCACTCTCAGTTTCATTTTTCATTCTGGATATGTTAGATGTCAGAATTGGGAAGTCTGGTTCAGTCGGTCCCTCACTCCTCCTGGGGGACCTAGTGCAGTGCTCTCCCAGTAATGCAGGCACAGACCAGTTAACTCCCACGGACATCTAACTGTGGGCATCTGCACGCAGCATCCGAAAGACGACAGAAGATCTCCGCTCCTCAACCTTCAAATAGCTCATTACTTACTGAGAAGAGGGACTGTTACTCCCCTAACCGCTCAGGTCAGGGTTCCTTTCAACTTTATTTAAAGCAGCTGCTTTCACAGAAGGAGGCACGACTACATGGACCAACCAGCTGGACAGGAATTGAAATAATTTAACGCAAGAGCCAACAGCCAGCTGCAGCTGCACGGCTGCTTGACGTACGACCAAACTGGACTGCCATTTGGCCTTAGAATGGTTACCCTCTTTGAAGCTGTGTTTTATTTGCAAATTTCAACTTACCTGCTCCGCGGAATGACTTGGTGCAATGCAATCACCAAATTACAAAACCAAAGCTAAATGACATGTTGGGGCTTTTTTTAGTTATAGAGACGCTACGGCTGGTGACTACCACTTATTTATTCTGCATACTTTCCGCCTACGTTCAATGGTTTTGAAAACACGTACCCCATACACGTATGTCCTTGGGAATCGGTCCGGGTTCATGCTCTTCTTTTGCCTCAAACTCAGGAATGTTACTCCTATTAAAACTGTAACTATTACATGGGCCGCTCTAGAACAGCCTTTCCATTTTGTAGAAGCACACGAATACTTTAGCCCCAACGACTCCAATTTCATTTGGGAATTTCTACAACAGTTGCCACAGGAGAACAGACTCACAAGAAATGATTAATTGATGTTCATACCCATTTGTTTTTTCTGCTCCAGCAAGAAATGCCCAGTGCGCTAAGACTCCAAGAGAACCAGAAAGGAGGTCCCCCTGTCCACCACATCTCCGGCTGCTTCCTTCGTGGCTGCATACCAGTACTACGAACAGAGAAACCAAAAACAAAGTCAGGGGCAGTTGTTCTTCTGTTCACAACGGTAACACCGTAGCTGTGCGGCTTAACCTCTGAGGCGCACAGGGGAGAGGTTAATCACAGGCAGCAGCATATGCTGAAATACAGTATTAAAAACCAAATAAATTACTGCAGTAACATTTAAAAAATGCCTTTCTGATGACTTTTCAGTCCTTCACAAGTAACACCGCACAATGTATACGCTTTCTCCACTTCACTCAGCCTGCACAGGAGAGTCAGTCACTGACGAGTTTAGTGATTCATGTGAGCTGATGCTGCCACGATGAGCAGTCACCCCAAACCGGACCAGGTCCCTCCACAAAGCCACTGCACAAACGCAATTCTCCAGAGTCTCTGACCTCCACGCAGCTTTCAAATGTAAGCCAAGGTGTTTTACAAAGAGCGAACGCAAACCAGAACTAAAACCTCAAACCTTCTGCCGTGGCCATCAGAAAGGTATTTTACCAAAAAGAGCCTTTTCCTCAGGCTTCGTAAAAACCATACGCAAAGAGAGATCTCTTTCTGCCAGTCAACAGCGTCCTCAGCATCCGTGTATGTTTCTGTCAGCAGTGTCGCTGTGGATGGGCTCTGTTAGAATATCAGATGTTACATTTCTGTTTTAAATATACAAAGGACCTTGGTCAAACCGATCTCTTTGTGGAGCTTTAACTATGAAGAACATGCAAATGGTTTCACTAAATTTAACTCCTTTGTTCTCCACTCTCAACAAGCCCAAGCATTTAGCCTGAAGGATGCATAAGGCACACAAAAAGAAAACAGCATCAATTCTACTACCCTCCTCCAAACTCTCTTGTGGGTACATATCTACCCTTAGCTTTCCTTCTTGCTTGGCTCTGGAAAAAAACAAAAACAAAACCACAAACAAAACCACAGGAGAAATTTATTTTCCTCCCTTGGGAGGACAGAAGAGCTGGCAGAATCATTGGTGGCCAAGTAGTGATCCTGAGCATCTCCAGTCAGCTGCTGCAGAGCTACTCGGGTCCAGGGCTACGCACACCATCATTTGTGCGCTCTCCTGAGCGCGCCAAGTACACAAGCAAAGTACAAAGCAAGACGTTGCTTGGACAATAGCCCTTACCTTAATTTTCTCAAACCTGGGCTGGGTTTCTCCAAGCTGTATGAACAGAGCAGCCCAGGTGTTTTAGAGGGAGTACAATCCATATTTTTAAAAGGAATTTTTCTCTTGCAAAATAATGGGGAAAATCCGCACAAAACTGAAGGACTTGCAGGTAAATCTTCTTAAATAGCAAGAGGTAAAAAAATACTGAACGCAAGTAAACCCTTCCCAGTTCACTAGCACAGTTCATTTCTGCTTTTTGTTACTTGGTGCAAAGAATTGTGCTGCACTTCCATTTCCTACCGATTCTTCCAGCAGTAACTGCTGGGCTCGCGAGGGCAGGCAGTCGCGCATTTTTGCTGCCACTGAGAGGGCAAAGATTCATCAGTCACCACGAACACAGCAGACACCGCTGCAGCGTTACCAGCAGTTAATTTTCCCACTCACTCTCCTCCCCTCCCCCCGCCCCAAATTAAGATTCTGGATGTGTTTCTCAGCGAGCAGCGGTTAATGTCAAATTTCACAAGTGTAAAGCACTTCCGAGTCAGCTATTTGAGGAAGGCATGCCCTTTTAGGTGGCGTGGTTTGTTTTATTACTTTTTTAAAATATAGTGCTTTGGAGAAATTACCTCTAATTCTCCTACTTTGAAGATGGTATCTCACAGGATTTTCGCTTTGAGGGCTTGAACTCCTGGCAGGAGGCAGGATGGAAATCCTCTGTTCAAAAGCTTTGGGGCCTTCTGACTGACAGCTGAGCACAAGCCCCTGCTTATTAGCTGTATGTCACCATCTGCCACTATTCTGCAGCCCCACAACCTTCCAGTCAGTTTTGAGCTGCACGGGAAAGCAAGATCTCCTCAAACTAGGCCAATTATAATACCCTGCTACAAAAAAAAAAAAAAAAGTGGTCTTTTGTTCATGTTTTTTGGTTTTTTTTTTAAGAAGTAAGTCTCAAATATGTGCAGACTACCTCACAGGCGACAACAAAAGCAGACCTCTGTACTCTGCACAGAGATGGTGGAAAACAAATCCACGCAATACCTTCAAAGAAGAAGCAGAACTAGAGGAAATTCACTTGAATGAAGGGGGAAAGGTACAACGCTCAGGCAATTCTTGCGCAGAGGCTCAGTTCCTCAAAGAATATCTCAAAATAAAAGGACTGTGAATATCACAACGGGCAATGGGAAAAGGAATGAAAAACTCCTCTGAACTACAGTCACCGCTAACAGCTTTTAAAATCAAAGAAGGAAGCTCACGCTACCATCAAGACAAACCGGCACACTGCCGAATCCACAAAGGACAAAGTCTTCCTAATCCTTTTCCCAGCCTTCTCCTAGAACAACAAAAACAGAACTGCTGTCTTCCCACTCCCCTAATCCAACAGCCCCCACTAAATGTCTGTGACCTGCTGTGAAGACCGCTCAAGCAGTTCTTTAAGGACCACGGGGGTGGCGTCCTTATATGCTGCAGTGAGCAGTGACAACCAGCGGCAACGTTACAAGACCTCGATTAGACGGACATGACCGAACGTCAGCGATGGTGCCGAGAAGGTGGGCGCTTCTATTCCCTGGAGAGATGCAGATCAATGTGTTTTATACGAGGATGAAGTTATTTTTCGGTCCATTGCTCAGCGAGGCTGTCCCATGTTCAACTAGGGATCGACACACACATCGGAAAGCCGAGAAAACACGGTTCTTGGAATAGCTGAGGAGACCAAGGTGAAGCCGCAAAGACTGAAATCACCACGATGTGTCAATGTTGAAAGGTGGTACCCGGGGCCACTTAAGGTCAATTAGTCTGACACCAGTCCCAATTAAAATAATGGAGAGGTTCATCTATAGTTCAACTGACAGACCTCAAGAGATAGAAACACACCACTAAAGCCGGTCAAATTGGCTGCTGGGGCAGGGTGTCTTGTTTTGGTTTTTAATAGGTCTGGGCAACCAAATCTGATGTCATTATTTCACAGGGTGATGACTAAACCAAACAAACCCTCAGTATAATTGACAGTATTTTAATGAAAACTGATTGATGCTAAGTAACTTTCTGAAAACCAAAACAAAATAACGCAGCTCCCTAGCACTTACCCACGGAGCATACATATACTACCGTAACAAAAGGCTACATGAAAGAGCCCTATTCAACAGTTTCACCATAATCTCGGTGATTGAACAGCACAAATATTGCCAGAGCTCCACACAGCAAATACAAGATGCCTCTCACATACAGTCATCCGGATTTCTTGCTTAGTAGTCCATGGAAACAATTTGTACTGAAATATGAGTGCAACAGAAAACAAACAAACAAACAAACAAAGGTGGCTGTCATACTGACAGAACATTGGAAAGTAGAAATTCAAGACTTTTAGGCTCCACACAATTAAAAATTCCCCGACTTCCTGGGTAACTATGGCCAAGTCATTTAGTAGCTCTACATTTAATATATTTCAGGTCATAAAATAAGTTACCATCACTCACTCCCTTTTCAGCACTCCTTGAAGATAAGATAAACATTAGCATTTGGGGAAGCATTCAGACCACGGTGTCACGCTTAGCTATAGCATTGCTAGCAAGTTTTAAGCTGAAAGAACTCCCAGCCCAAACTGTGCTGGCAGATCAAAGCCCAGAAGAATGACCCATTTAGGGATATTGTAGGCTTAATGAAAGAATCCGCCTGTTATGTAACTGAAAATAGCTGTCTCCTCTTTGAAGGAAAAAAGAATTAGAATTTAGTAGTTTTGCTAGGATCAAGCACTATGAGTTAAGAGGGAAGCACCAATTTTGATGTGGCTGTACACAGGCAATCCTACTTACAACGCTAGCTCCTAGACATGTTACAGTTAGAAAACCAAAGGCCCGTGTAGTATAAAAAGTAACGTATGCCTGCCTGTTCTTGATTCACAATGTTCACACAACAGTGGAAAAAAACCCCAACAACCAAACCCAGGGATTCATTTTTGTTTGTATTTAGAATACAGAATGTGAAATACGGGCTAGCTAGTTAAGGCTAAACACGTAACACTGATGATGATGATAACTAAGGCTAACGAGCCTACGTGAAACACCACATTACTGAGACCGCAGACCAAAAGACAGCCTGGAGATTGAAATTTAATTTTTGAATCTTGGGTGTCCAGCTCTGGAGCCCTCCATACAAGGAGGACACAGACCTGTTAGAAGCGGGTCCAGAGGAGGCCACAAAGATGATCAGGGGGCTGGAGCACCTCCCCTGTGAGGACAGGCTGAGAGAGTTGGGGTTGTTCAGCCTGGAGAAGAGAAGGCTCCAGGGAGACCTTACAGCGGCCTTCCAGTGCTTAAAGGGGGCCTGCAGGAAAGGTGGGGAGGGACTGTTTGCAAGGGCACATAGCGATAGGACAAGGGGCAGTGGTTTTAAACTAGAAACGGGTAGATTTAGATTGGATATTAGGAAGAAGTTCTTTACCATAGGGGTGGTAAAGCACTGGAACAGTTTGCCCAGAGAGGTGGTGGAGGCCCCATCTGTGGAGTCATTCAAGGTCAGGCTTGATGGGGCTCTGGGCAACCTGATCTGGCTAAAGATGTCCCTGCTCACTGCAGGGGAGTTGGACTACATGGCCTTTGGCGGTCCCTTCCACCCCAATGCATTCTATGATTCTATGTCCTGAACAAGCTCTTTGCACTTGTTTTCCTCTTACAGAGCAGGAGCACTACACTTACCCTAATGTGCTCAGGAATACGTGTATGAAAGGTATGACCAATCTGACTTCCAACGTGATCCAACCGGATCATATCAGCTAACATCAGCTACCCCACAGGACAACAAATACTCTTGTTTAATTAAAAGGCTGAAGATTTCCATTTCCTATGCAAAATAATGTAGCTATCAAGGTCCATTTTGCTCCATCAAGTGCAAGGTTCCGGTTCAGACCATTATCAGATCTTGAGTAAAATCCTTTACCAATATACATCTGTCCTGGCAGATACTCACACTAGTAAGAAATTTATCTTTTTCCTTTTGCAAGTTAGTTCACAAAAGCGCATAGCTGGAGATTGTGGACTCCCAGAAACATGTCCCAGAGTACGTACAGATGGGGAAACCAAGTTTAATGGCTTTAGCTAGAGAAATCACTCAACTGATGTGGAAAATGTAAGTTGGCTTTTATATAAAGGGTGCTTATACTTTCACATTCCCTAATCACACTTTTAAAACTTAGATAGGTCCTTGAGTGTGAGACACCAGGCAATTTAAGTTAAAAGAAAATGATCCAAATTTTACATTACTTTTTTTGGACGAGTGGAGGAGCCAGGGGACGGATGTGATGGCAGGCGAGCAGTGCCAGGGAGACAGCAGGCCGGGCTGCGTGTGCGATGGAGAGCACAGCAGCACGATGGACAGGAACCACGACCTCCCTGTTTTGCACACTCTGCAGAAGCACGACTGAAGACGAAGGTGCTGCCTCTCAGCTAAAAATCTAAGCAAACTTTGCTGGGCAGCTGGACACCGTAAGAGCTTTCAGCTGAGTGAGCCAGGGACTGATAAGCACTGAATAGCTTCCTTTCCAGCTGTGTGAGGAATGAATGGCAGAAATTAGAAGTACTGTTTGGGGACTTAGGGCAAGAGTTGGCTTTTTACCCCATATTCGGTACTCAATAATCCCTCTCACATGCTTCTTTGCTTCTCTTGACCATAGCTGGCAGCTGGGCAACTGGAGGGAAACTGTTTGGCTAATGGCTCCAGGTAAAAGGCAGCAGCAGGCTGGTTACCGGTAAAGTGTGCCTTTTGGAAGGGAGGAGAGGACACACAGGTGCTGGGGAAAATACAGAACAACTCACTGTAACATTTAAAACCAAATATCCAAATCCTCTACTTCAAGGACCTAACCAAATTTTAAACATGTTAGGAACTAAGACTGGTATAACCACACTTTATTATCGACCAGTTCTCCAAAGAATAATAAAAAGAAAACCTTAGAGAGCTGTGCCATAGCGAATAAAAGCTGACTTACCTTTTACCCACAGGCTGAGTACTCATTCCTACCCTGGTCAGTGAGGGCACTGATATCACCTACCAAGAGCATGGTGAAGCTCATCTTTGTAGAGCAGGGAATCAACAACTGTAGACCAAGCTATAATGTGAAATTGCAAAAGGAAAGAGAAAAAGAGTATATAAAACTTAATTTAAAATCTTGGTGATTACGTTTACAGGGCAGTTGGCAGCTCATAACTGAAATGGAGGCAAATTTTAGAAAAACCTCTGTTACAGCGGAGAACTGCTACTGATTTCACAGAGGCCATGTATGTGACTCAGTACTGATTTTAAGGCCATAAGGAACCACCTGCATCATCTAGCCTGATCTCTAAAAACAAACTTCAAACGTGTCCAGACCCTTTACAGTTGGCAATCTATCAAAGTTCTGGAGATGTTGTCGTCGTAGCTAATTTCTTTGGCTGTTAATAAAATTTGCTTTACTTTTAATCTGAATTTATTAAGCTTCAGCTTCCCATCAGAATTTATTGTGTGTGCCTGCTCATTAGATTACAGGGCTGCCTGCTGACAGTAATCCTTCACCAACACCTGTACTTCCAGCTCACTATCGAATAACCTGATAACCTTTTCTGTCTTCAACTAACAGAAGTAAATTGTCTACCGAATTTCCTACAGACTCATGAATAAAAGCACTGTGAAAATAACCACTACAATCACTTTAAGCTATGAAGTATTCACCAAGCCAGTCTTCCCTGCTGCAAAATTCGGCATCTTCAAAAAGCCTTCCTTCCACAACAGCCAAGCACAGAACACTAAAGCTGCACAGTTAAGTTCGCAATTTCTGGTTTTCCTGGAGAGCACTGAGACTTACTTTTTCTTTTTTTTTTTCCCCCCCAGACAGCATGCATGCAGTATATTCCCAAAGGAGAAAGTTTAAAAGCGATATATGGAAACTACAGTAGCTGTGTGCTAAGCACATGAGCTCAAGCAGGAAACGCCTGAAAAGAGGTACGGCTTAAGCACTACAAATGTATGATGACGTGAAAAATGAGAGGCAAGGGGAGTACACGGATCTTTTCACAGTATTTGATCGTGCTCAGAGGACATTGGCCTGATCCAATGATCCGGATTTCCCTCACACTGGAATCATGCTGTATGTTGTCTTAGCTGAAAAAAAATGACATCAGATCAAAAGAGACAGACGAAAAAGGAAGAAGTTAAGAGCGAAAAAACCTGGGACAGAATTCAAGGTCAGTGACATGACAACACGTTCTGTGTTGTGGCACAGAGCAGACAGCAAAACTCCTTTCTCAATGTAATTTTGCATTTAGGAAGCTTTTAAAAAATTGACTGACAGTAATTCCCAGACCCAAAGAACATTTTTGCTAAAAGAAAGCTGAAGTTTATAGTTTCTGCAAAATTCTCAGGAACATTCTTGCAAGCAACACAAACCCTAAAACCAGTGTTTGTAACAGACATTATAACCTGTATTAAACCTGACAACTGCTTTCTTACAGCTCATCAGTGCTGCCTGTAACGTCTGTAATCCAAGAGAGAGAAAGCATCGGTGATAGAACCAAGGTAACAGCAACAAAGCAGCCTATAGCTGGACATCAGACTACTGCTATAAAGGCACAGAACTGTTTATATTTCAAATCAAAAAGCCACTTAACTAAAGAGAAAAAAATACCAGAACACAACAGGGAAAGAACAAGATGGGAAAAGAAAGACAAAACCAACAAAAAGCCCCAAAAGCACACAAGACATACACCAAACTTGTGCCACACCTGAACATTCAAAACTGAAACTGGAAAAAGTTTCATTTTTTTCCTGGTTTTTTGTTTGGTTTTTTTTTTTTTGAATCCTGCATGACAAGAGACAACAGAGATGGAGTACCCCCTCTCTCCAGCAACGGTGGAGGTACACTAATCTCAAGAATAACAGCTCAAAAGGAGAACAGAGATATACTAGGCAATGTGCTCAATCTAAAGCGCTCATCCAGTTTTCCCAACATTCATTAAAAAAGCAACAACCCTGCGTAAAAAGAACATTGTTGACATAAAAGCAGAGAAAGAAGATACACTACAGTGCTCTAAAGCTCTCTAGCTGGCATAAACTGCAGACAGGATATTTTATCCTCCCTTAAGCCTGGCCTGGCCATCCAAGGTTACAAATCAAGTCTGCTCTGGGTACAAATATGACAGCAGACTTCGTGCAGGGCGAACTGGGTACTGTATGACTGACCAAAGTCCTCCACCACACAGGCATTAACCATATTGCTTCCAGATCCCAGCTTGCTTCACAGCCTGCTATAGCATCTGTACTAACGGGGTTATGCGGAAGGTGGCTCTGCACAAACCAGTTGCCATATTACATCTGTTTTTCTGTTATGAAAGACTCCCATGGCTCCCAGTAATGAAAAATTGACGGGATATACAAAACAGTTCTGAAGCAGCATAAACATTTACCAGAGATTAGCATCTCGAGTAATTAGAAGCAGAGCTGCTGCTTGTTATGAATGTGAAATAAGACCGCGAAGTCAAAACGCGATGAAGGCGCTCATTAATTATATACTGATCACAGTAAACGACCAGTATAAAAAGCACTGAAGTATACTTTAAGCATATTAGTAAGTGACTGTCTTAAAAAGTTGTAATGGCAATCTAGAGCTAATTTGTTTGTTTGTTTTGGTGGGTTTTTTTAAGTTGTCAGGGCTAATGTACAAGTCATGTATGTACAGGCTAATCTACAGCCCCGCGGTGGACAGTATCAAGGAACTGAGCAGCTCAAGAACCTCAAGTCTTCATTTTTCACACACACCAACACACGGTGAAACAAAAATATTATTCTGCATTCATTCAGCAGTGATCTGCACTTAAATAGACCATCTCAGCTAAGGATTTTAAAACAGTTTGCAAAGATTGAAAAAATTAATTTTTCAATACCTGTGTAATGTAAAACATAAGTTATAGCCATTTAAATGAGAAATAAGATCAGCAACCTTTTTCAGCAAATAAATTAAGTTGCACTCTTAAAATATCAATTTACACAAATCATCTAAAAGTGATCTGCAAAGACAGCCACTCCACCCCTTCAATCTTCAGGGGAATACAGTCAACCAATTACTACATAGTCCATTGCACTACGACTGAAAGCAAACAAAACAAAACAAAAATCACATTGCTAAAAGCAAAAGGCTTCACTTACCTTTCTCTCCATCTGAAATAAGATCTCTTTCTCCCTTTTGAACAATTGTCAAATTCCCCATGGCTTGGCTGAGTCTTAATACACATCCATGATGATCACTACTGTCTACGGGGTCTCTAAGCTACAACACAAGAATGCCGTACACAGTACGTATTTTACTACTAGAACAACATATTCTAACACATGCTACTTCAGCACATGTATGGGAAGGGGAGGGGAAGCATCATCATCAATCATTCCAGGTATTTTTTTCTATACCCATTGTAGTTCCAAAAAAATGCATAAGAAAGGGCCTTCTTTAAAAAAAGAGCTCTGTTTAAGAATATGCATTGTTGTGGCGATTATCCCATGGACAAAAAAACCCAGAGAATGCATATAAAAACCAGCACATAACATTTAAACCAGTAACAAGCTGTTTATTTTTAAAAACTAGAAGACTAAACTTGCACATACTTAAATATCAAAGAGGAAAACAGCTCACCATGGCTTCATACAGTCTACTAAACTCCATATAGTTTGGAGTAAGAATAGCTCGCTGGTAGCCTTGAATAAGAGAAGGCTGCTGGGAAATGAGCCATAGTCCATCCTGCAAAAACCAGTAAGAAGAACATTTACTGAATAGATTCTTAAATGTCAAACCACTGACTGAATCAAGAAAATACTTACAGCATCAATAATGATCGGAATTCCTTTCACTTTTGATTTTTCTATAATACCCTGCAAAAAATGCAGATAACTTTAAGATGCTTGCTAATTTGAATCTCATAAAAACAAATTCATACAATAAATCTGATCATGTAAGCTCTTTTTACAAAGTTAAGATTGAAAACCCTGTTATATTCTGCAAATTTACGTAAGACATTTTCACATCAACTTGTAATTTAGAGTTACATTGTTCTCTCCCTGGCTCAAGCACAAGCAGTGTCAACAGGGTGTCCGTAACTGATGCCTCGGTGCTGATATGCAAACAAGCATGCAATCTTACTCTCCCTGCTGTAACAAGCATGCAACGCCAACATAAGTCACACTTAGTAAACACACATCTCCAATTAAAAAAAAAAGAAAAAGAAAAAGAAAAATTAATATTGCCATGATAGAAATCTACCAATAACCGTAATACTAACTTTAGTGGCTTTTCCAATGACAGCCCCACCGCAGTCTTTGAGTTGATGTACACACAAACACCCCGAGACAAGCAGTACGTAGGACACGTCATTTCACTCCTGGTCCTGGAGGTTTTACACTTTCAAAGCAAAACCAAGGTGGCCCAGACAACAGTCCATTTGCAAAAGTGTTTTTTTCAGCAAGCAGTACCTACTAGCAGACTGTCTGCCCTCGTTCTCTCTCCTAACTGAGCAGTGGCAACAACTGATACTCAAGCTTTTTTAACGAGCAATGGCTGACAGTCAAGTTTTTTGAATGTTAAGTCATCACCAACTTGTCTTTGGAAGCTGGAGAGTTTATCTTTTTCCGGTATGAGATAACAGAGGATGGTATCCATCCAAATGTCTAATTATTTCTGAACGTTATTAAGCTCTCCAGATTAGCTATCATAGGGCACTGAGCTCCACAGGTTAGCAAGACATTATGTAAGGAATAAGGAAGCAGCTTTTGATTAATGTTCAGGGTATCGAACGTCCCTCTGTTCTTGTGGTCAAAACAAACACTGCTCACCTCGCTTCCTGTAAATTATTAATTATGGACCATATATTCTCACAAACTCATTCCTACCCGATTCCGATTTTTCCAATAACTTCCCTTCTATTTTTAAACGCATGGCCAGAATTCAGCAGCGTGCTTCAACTCAACACTACTTTTGCTCGTTTGGGCGCTGTTTGCTTGCTGGAAGCACAAGACTGAAACACTACCCGCTGCTCCAAGCCTGAGGACTTGGCTCACACAGCTGCAGCTACATTAGAAGCTGCTACAGAATAAAAACCTTTCCATGACATACACACGCTCGCACAGGTCTCGGCTGGGCTGTGTGTCACGGACTGCCAGGTGCCCACCCTACTTGGGATCCCAAGGGAACACCACAAGTCTTCTCCTGTATGCAGCTACTTAAATAATTTTGAACCAATCGCAAGCTTTACACAACTCACACCATTCAGCTACTACTAAATTACTCAGATTTGTTAATAAGTACATTTAGCAGCTGTGCAAGGATGGAATCTTAAAACACACCTAGAATTAGTTGCAGCATACTGAAAAGCAGAGAGCCTTACTTTCAAAACTCTTAAGAAATTTATGAGACAGAGTCATTTCTTTATTCACTAACGTTAATCTGCACAGATGTGCACAGTTCAGTTCTCCTTCACAGAAGCTGTATGGCTTTGCCACTGCTGTGATAAGTTCATTACAATTATATTTAACCCTACTCACTTGGTTAGAATAAGATAAAGTCATGGATCTAGCAACCAGGTTTATGTGTTGTTTTTTTTCTGTATAAGTGAATGTTATACATCCAACAGCCCAATTATTTTTGAACCATACTAAGCTCTTCTGATCAGGTATCAAATGGCACTGAGCCCCAGAGGTTAGCAAGACCTTAAGTAAGAAAGCATTCAGATCATCCTCCCCCAATTTGTGAAGATACAAATACCATTTACTGCAGCCTCATTTTCTAACTGGTTTTAATTAGAATATTTTTATATATTAGCAATTCACCAAACTCCTTCGATACATGTGAAACGATCACTGCTCCAATTCCTGCTAGTATGAATCACCAGTTTGTTCTAGTTTGCCAGCTGTAATAAGCCAGTCTTTCATGACACTTTGTTTTTTAAAGCCAAAAGAGATTTCCTCAACAGATTCCGTACGGAAGTCTCAGAAGTCCTTATCCTTGCAAACCATTCTCTTAAATGCATTATGAGCAAACCAGGGAACTAACTTTGCCAAAGTTCTGTTCCCGAAACAGTTAAGGTTTCGCTGTTGCTGTTACTGTCTGGCCCTTTTTCATGTTCCCTCATAATTGTCATCTTGAATACCGGTTAGAATGCCTCTTTTTGTCTATATATGTATCTAACAACAGGCTAAATAAAGAATCCTGAGGATCCATTGTCCACCAAAAGAATCGAAATACAAAGGGAAAAAAAAAAAAAGATGGAAGTTACGAAGCAGGAGAGTACACGCACAGGTAAATAGCTTCTGGAAAGCTGGGTCACTGGTACACTCCAGAGAAATAAGGCATTTCCTCCTAATAACGTTTTGAGTTCCTACCTCACCAGCACATCCTCCACAATCCTGAGACATTTGACCTCTGCTCTGAAGAGAAATTTCATCTTGCTAAGTAAAAACTACTGGCCAAGCAACTTTTATTGTGTACCGCGTCTCTGAGGTATCAGTTTCTAATCTAACTTACTGAGTGATCTTTGCTTTTTCTTTCTCTCCTTATAAAGCAAATAACAAGGGGATACAGAGTCCTTTGTCTTATTTAGAAAGCTCATTTTTGATTAAAAAAAAGAGAAAAAAAAAACACAAAAAACTACCCTAATTATTTTCCTTCCCTTTTCCTTCCTTAAACCCAGACAGAAACTGCTTGGAGACAGACAAGGAACCTTAGAGAGGAAGTTCTGGGGAGGGAGGGGGTAATCTCACAGTTGTAATAACGCCGTAACAGAGATACCCTGTAAGACAATCACCCATTTGAAGGGCACAACATTCATTGCAGAACCTCTGTTTCGTATTGATTGGGGACAGGACCCATCTCACCTGTTGCCTTTTAAAGGTCAAATGGCTCGCCACTGGAGAGCAATTCATCCCATGCAGCTCAGACACCACATTTAGGGTGGGATCAATCACCAACAGACATACCTGTCTCTTCTCAGTGATCAGAGAGGGAAGAGAGACACTTACTGCTTTATTTTCAGACACCAAGAATTAGGTGAGATGAAGTCCACCTTTAAACACTCTATTACTGCAGATACTGTATAAAAACCAGTAATACTTGCATAAGAGGTTTTTAGAGCAACAATGGCAACATCCTCTATGCAGAGTATTTTGTTCCTGGAAGCAAAATCAAATTTTCAGCTGAATCTGTATCTCGATGTTTGGCATGGACTTTCCTGGTTAATTCTTGCAGCACACAGAAGAACCCTCATTATCAATTGCACAATTAATACAGCTCAGACTAACTCTAATTTCACACCAAAACCTACTTAACTGCTTCCAGTAGGACTCTGTGTATGAGCAGGAACCATCTGTTTGGTTTTATCCCATTGTAGCCATCATTTCTATGCGAAAGGATTTAGAAGAGAACATTGCCAAATAAAAATACTAAGAAATGTTACTAAGACAAGACCTGAAATCCAAATACCAGTCTCACAAGTGAACAGCAACACATACAGGGATCCATGATAAACCCAAGACACCAATCCTTCTCTTCAAGCGGCATTTTGAATATTAAGATTTTGGACATTCTAGCTCCAAGAAATCCCAGTGGACCATCTTTCTGTGTGCAGAGTATGCTATACTACGACAGCGGTGGTTCAGCCTGGTGCAGGCCAAGGCAGGAGTACCTCCTTCACTCCATTCCTAAGCACTCGAGGACACCCAGAAATGAAGGACCGGACTCAGAGGGTAACCTTGGCACTAGGCACAAAGCAGAGAGGACAATGAGGAAGAGGAGAGAGTAACACGCTGGTGTCACCTCGCCTCATGACCTACAGTCACACTGGTTAGCTAAGATGTTAAAGACTGAAATTCAGATCCTTTCTCTGTGATGTTCACAGCGAGGCCCAAATTTCAGTCTCCTGCTTTTCTTGTAGAGAATCCTAATAATGGGGGTTTGGGCAGTCTCTTGCGACAGACATTCTGCGCTGTATCAGTTGGCTGAATACTTGGTGGCTCTCTGAAACAGTGATTCTACAGCCCACAACATTTAGATGAGAAAAGGTAAATGGGTTCCAGCCTCCTATGATTAAAGTCAGTGATGATGAGCTGTATTACAAGACTGTAGGACTCATGCTGTAACGAGAGTTTCCTCTCCTAATAACTGAAGGCCAAAGTTTAAGTTTCTACCCTAATTAAGCCAAAGAGGAAATGACCTGGTATTCACGCATCCCATGAAGATGCTGTATGGGACAATCTCCCACACAGTCACCATTTGTTAGCAGCACCAAATACTTGACATTTAGGAATGCCCAAAATAATACTTCAGTGATTGCAGTTTTTGGTGGAGGTGGTTGAGGGGAGGAGAGCCAGAGGGGGTAAAATTAACCTGAGTCTGCTCCCACTCTACTCCTGAAATACACAATTTCCTGAAAAATCTTTGTTCTCTGACTGGGTATCCAGGACTTGTATGCAAGTGACCTACTCAATAAGAACTGAAAAAGGAGCTATGTCACAGTAGAACCCAGTGCTCTACCTGGGTAAAGGTAACCCTTTACTGTAATTCGGAAAATTTGCAAAGTAAGGGCAAAGAATTTATGTGTTTTAATTAATTCTTTTATTATCATGAAAGCTATTCCTTGAAATGCAATGCATCCATTTCAGTAGAAATCTGTGTTCTCTGTCCCAACTTTCACATGGGAATTAAAAGATTCCACAAACAAAATTCCAATCTTTTTTTTGAAAACAAAAACACACACCCCCCCCTCCCCAAAAAAACAACAACACACAAACCACACTGAAACCAGAACAACACACACAAGAAATCAGACTCATTCAGGCTGGAAAGGACCGCAGGAGGAAGCAGCTTGAAGGAACGAATGGACAGG